GCCGAGAGCAAACCAAGCCAGTTGCAGAAGAGAACCTCCAAACTGTCCTGACAAGCACGAGCTGACTCAAGCGCAGCTCCTATCCAGGCCAATTCTAACCCTGCGTATCAAACTCCGGGTAAGCCGGTGGGCAAGAAGTAGCTGCCTAGCTCCTCTTCGTTCATTTTGCAGATATGACTGCTTCGTGTGAATGGCAGGATGGGCATATGCTATTTGCATACTCCACCGGCCTGAATAGAAGCTCAGCGCTCCAGCCTTCAGCAGATGGCAGAGCTGAGGGTGTCGGGTGCTGGCGTCAACGCTGCTGAGCAAAAAGGTGTGGAATCGTGAACCTCGCAAAGCCACACAGAGCCCATGGAAGCCACCGCCTCCTCTGCCTCGATCAGCTTCACGGCCAGGACCTTGAGAGTGTGGACGGGCTCTTGTCTTATAGCTTGTAGAAGAGCATCCTAACCCCTTCAAGTTGTACTTGGTATTTCTGCACAGCTACTCTTCTCCATCACAAAGCTCTTCTCAGCTAGGTGTAAAGTTCTAACGAGGCCAAACCTCTTCACATCACACCAACCTTTCTTCCCCACGGTGCCTGCGCCAGCTGGGCCTCTCGCAGAGGGTATGACATATGAGGCTTGGAAGGTTTCTTCATCAGTGAGCTTCGTTTGTGGGTTGCAAAATGGCTGTCGTGATGCCAGGGCACTGGTGACTGAAGCTAGACTCGGCCAAAGCAAGATGCTGAAAAGCTCAATGTCCTAGTGGAGCAGGAGATAAGGATACAGCGGTGACAAGCCCTTGCCTTGCAATGGACATCGGCTGCATAGCTTAGCAGCACTTGCTTCAGCCTTTACATACATCGCTCTGAGCCACGTCGGCATGGCCTGGAAGTCAGTCTGCGCCTGGGTTGACAGGTGGAGGAGGGAGTGGCTAGCTTGAACATGGTGGCAGGGCTTGCTTTTTGACTTCAAGCTTTGGGGAACAAGGCCCCAGATTGGGCGTTGCTGCTTTCACTATGCCGGATATTCGCTGTACAAGGTCCATGCCCATTTTCCTTCACGGGTTAGAGCAGGTCTCATGATCAGAGCTACATGCCGTTAGCCTTGGGTTTGGCGATCGGTGTTCTGCCTTTTGCTGGAGCATGGTGGAGCCCTCAGGGGCCATTAATGCCAGACACCCAATGACCAGGTGCTTGAACAATTGGTGTTGACTCCAACGTTCCAGACGTAGCATGCCTTCGCTCTCAGCCCTTCATCTTCACGCAAAAATGCTTAAACGATCTTAAACGTCTGCAGCAAGCAGCTGGTGAGGCTGCTGCTACTCCCACTGCCAGTGCTGCTGTTCCAACTTAGCGTGAGAAGCGGTGCGGCTATCTGCAGCCCAGGCGCAACGTAGCTCATGGCGCGGGGAAATGGACGCGATAGTTTGCGCGTGAAGGAAGATGCAAAATGCTAAGGGAGAGGCATCAAAAGGCAACGGAATTTCATTGCATGGCCACCTTATCTTCCGCTAGGAAGGGAGTGCTAATTTTTGGGGCGCTGAAGGAAAGAATGGTAAAGGATTACAAATCCCTCACGTTCCACCTGTCAGATCAATGTCTGTCCGACACAAGTTAGAAATCCTGCTTGACCAGGCCATGCTCCAGGATTTGGCAAGGTCCAAATGTTTAGGAAGCAGAAGCACTGAACGCAATGAGACACGTCATACCCTGAATCATAATCTAGTGCTTAGCCTAGAACACTTTGTCTAACGGGCTCTGAAGTTCCAGGTCCGGCGCGGTAGGTGCCATCAACACTGAGACATATCGTGAACTAACATCCTGACTCCTTGGCCCTGCATGGCAAGTCCGCCTCGTTGCAAGCCCTCCATTCTGCGCATCTCACGACGAGTAGCTCTTGTGCAAGTTCTATATTCCAAAAGCCACTGAAGCTGCTCAGATGTGCAGAGCCACCACATTGTTCCAACCGGTCTGACTGGTTACATCGGCTTGTGCTTCAGGACTTTTGGCTAAGGCCGTCTTTACATGGCTTCCCTGCCCTGGCACCAAGAGGACAGCGGCTGTTCCTAAGTTATCTTAAAATCCCCACAGAAATACAACGAAATACAACAGAGGGCCCCACCCATGCTGCTGAGGTGAGGATCTGAGCAGACTCCTTGCAGACATTGTGCATTTTTTGTGACAGCGGTTCCTAGGTCCTATGCAAGCCTTCCGAAGGACTCAGGTAAGCACGCTCCGCTACAGGACTCCTTCAAGCGGGCTACAGGGTCCCAAACAAGCTTGGCTCGGGAACCAACATCTGGGCAAGCACTTGAGATACGAGCAGGTTGCGTGCGTGAAGTTACTGTACGCAGGCTTGAACCACGATTCACTGTCACAGTTTTTCATGGGATCTATAGAGCCTTTAAGAACCGGAAGGAGGAAAAGCTCACATGATGTTGGAGAGAGCACCTATTCCCGATGCGGCTGGTTTTAAATGGCAAGGGTCAATTTGGGCAAGTGGGGCAGGGGTGCGTTTCGGGTTGAAGGGGGCCACATTTTGGGGGAGAAGTGGGGCAAGTGTGGAAACTGGGGCAAGTGTGGAAAGTGGGGCGAGTGGGGCGAGTGGGGCGAGTGGGGGCAAGTGGGGCAAGTGGTGGGTCAAGGGAGCCTGGGGCAGGAGTTGAGGGGGCCACATTAAGGGGAGAAGTGGGCCAACTGGTGCGAGTGAGGCAAGCGGGGGTCAAGTGGGGCAAGTGGGACTGACGCCTTTAATGTTGCCCCTCCTGCGGTCGCAATGGTACACAGAAGACCATCTACGAAGCTATGTAAAGCCCCGAAGCTACGTAAAGCCCTGAGTACGGCACTCCAACATTGCAAGCCAAAAGCAGAAGATGACTACACAAGCTTTGATACCATGATCAAGGCAAAAAGCTCGATTGTGGGCTTGTGGAGACCTGCCAGTACTCTCCCTGCGATGTATCGACTACACGAATCACAGATTCTCCCCAGATTATAACCGCTAACCTGAAACTGGATGATATGACAAGCAAGCCTATGACCAACTGGAGCTGTAGAAGCGTGGATCCAGGAATTTCGACTTGAAAAAGCAGCTCTGTTGAAACTCCGAATGTGCCCTTTCCCAGCCTCATCACCCCAGGACGGAGTACCAGTTTCCAACATCGACAGAATCTGGGCAGTCGATGGGGTTCCGTCTGTAAGAGGCAATGTATGCAGGCCTACACAGAAGACGAACTACAGCCAGAAAGCAGAATGGCAGACTTGCTGACTTGCTTGTCAGCTGTTAAAGCCTCTCGGTTGCGCTCCGTCTGTCGAAGGACAAGAGCTCTGCGTGACTGCTTCGAGTTGGTGTGGCATGTTGCAGGGTGAGCAATCGGTGGTTCTGTATGATGTCAAAGAACACGGAGCTGAAGACCCAGCCAGGCACCAGGGACTAAAGACGAGGCTTTGGCGCACGCGTACCCAAAACAGTATCTTCAAACCGCGAGCCGGCGAAACCAAGCGTAGGAAACGAATCGTTGCGGAATCTGCTTGCTACCTCGCGCCATCAGCGCTAGCTTCGTTAACCCATGAGCACACCAGTTAGCAGCACGTCGTGAGCCTGTGTTGACTTACCTATCGCGCTTCCCCAAGGCAACAAAGCCAAGTAGGCGTCACAGGTGCCTGGCTGCATGTTGAACAATCTTGAACGTGCACAGCGGACTCGCATAGTTGCCATGGTTCAAGAAGCGCTGGAATCTGAGCTATGCAATCCGTTGTGCTCAGCACATGGCAGGATGGTCATGCAACCACGGCAACCTTCTATGGCTGCTAGATGCTGCTAGAAGAGTTGTAGAAAACCTGTCTTTGCTCCCGGCAAAGAAAATTCAGACAGTAGATATTGTAAGGCTGGCGCTCCTACCCGTACCGACTCGTGAACAACGAATACGTTCGCGAGCTCCACCTCGGAAAGGTCTTCAGGTTTCATGCAGGTTTTGCCTCAGGTTAGTTCGGATATGAGGGAAACTTTCAGACCCAGGTTGAATGACTTTCCGTGCAAGCTTTGGGCTTCTGAGGGGTTTGGACACCATTGCCTGGGCCCAGTAATTAGTAGGTTTCATCTGCTTGCAGAGTTGTTCCTTAAAAAATCTCAAATATTCCGCTCTCAATTCTCAACTCATCTTTTGGGAAGGGGCGGAACCTGGGACATTGGACGTCAGGGACTGGTCAAATGCGACGGAGAGGCAATACAGGCAGGCCTGGACGGCCGCGGGAGTGCGTGAGAGCGCGGCTAACATGGTACGTGCACCGGAGATGGAACAGTGAAGGGTAGTGATAAGGCGCGGCTTCAGCAGGAAGAGACAGGGGTAAGTGCAAGGCCAACACCGAAGAAGTGCGGACCGGGGAAAAGACTTACGACCAAGTGGTCGGTGCTAAGGTTAATTGAGGGAAAGGGTAATGATGCCAAGGGTCAGTGGGTAAGGAGGGCCAACGGTACAGGACAAGGGTAATCAGAGCGATGAGGGAAGGACACTTGCATGCGGCGCTGGCAAGCAGCGACAAAGGGTAAGGGGCATCTGGCAAGGAGTAAGGAAGCGACAAGGGTCAGGGGCATCGAAAAGAAGAACAGGTAAGGAGAAAGGAAATGTGGGTAAGAAGCTTGTAAGCATTCAAGGGTACTGTTAAGAGGTGGCCAGACGGGTAAGATGCTACAAGCAATGGGTAAGGTGCGAATTCGAGGGTTCAGAAGCGACAACCGGCATAAGAATCCCACCCACCCAAGCCTCAGTAAGTATCGGCGTTTGTTGTTGCGGTAAGGATCCCAGGGTTCAGAAGCAGCAAGGGCAAAACTCCACTTCCGTGACCGGCCACGTGCTTGACACGCGGGAACACTAAACTTTCTAAAATCACAAGATTTGTTCGAGCACACGGTCAAGTCAATCTCCATACTCCCAGGTCCAAACACTTTCGAAGCGACACATCTGCTCATCAAACATTGTACGCCGTGCGCATACGAGTAATTAGGTGAAAACATTTAACATGCACGTGCAAGATTGCGCCATCCCGGCTTGTCCAGGTTATCTTGTTCGCGGATGCAAGCTAAAGGCGGTATACACAGATTCTCCTCTTTGACAGCCTGGAGCGTGACCCGCGCCTTGTCGTCTGGTGCAGCTTCCATACCGGGTTCGCACCGCAGCGGGTCCTGCAAATCTTATAGAACTGATACGCGGTCTTCATGTGAGAAAGCTATGCGCAGCCTGCCACAATCTTTGATGTGGTCAAAGTTGTGAAGCCCTGAACCTTCAACCCTGGCCAAAACATCAAAACTCACACGTGCAGAGAAGCCTCACATAGCAAGGACTGGATCGACAAGAGCACCTGCCATCTGTGACGACTTTCAAGCACTGTTCTAGAGCGGAAAGGGTTGAGAGACCATGGCCAGTGCGAGGCGAGCTGATGCATTGCCGCGCAAGAGCCGCAAGTAATGGCAAATCGTCTACCCAAATCAAGCACAAATCATACAAATCCAACTCTTGAGCTTAGGCACTGTTCGAATGCTTGAGCTGGCAGTCCAGCGAGGCCCGTGCCACGTGCCCAGGATGCTGAGGCAAACTTTGCCTCCGCTTCAACATGATCACGTGCAACGAATATAACCGCACCGCGTTGCCACTCAGCTGCCCAAAGTTTGTTCAAAGTCGACTTTTGGTCTCGGGGTCCTGCTCCAAGCGTGCAAATCGCACAAAGTTCGGGATCATCAGGGGACCCAGTTGGCTCAGTTCATCTTGAGCAGGAGGAAAAAGCCATTGAAAGCTAGCCAGGTCATCGCCACTTCAGTACGGAATGAGGAGGGGAGTTTAACGTTTGTATCACGACCACGCGAGGCGAGCACTCCGGAAAGACGAGGCACCAAATAAAGGTCAGCTCCGTTTGAAACAGTCAATATCGACCCCGGCCACGCCCCCAACAAGTGATAGAATCACTGACTCCCTGCTTTCCAAACCGTGTCTGTACCTACCATGCCATGGCAAGCTGCACCTGAAGCCTATCTGCGCTTGCTTCCTTGACTTGAATTGAATAGGACAAATTGGGGGGGCAGAAGCCATGGGTGGCTGGCCTGGTCCATCCAAACTACCAAATCCTATGGGCTGAAGCCAAAGCCTCGTCTCAGCCTTAAGTGACAGCCAAACACACAAAATCACACGGTTCGCCAAGCGGCCATCAGCGTAAAGCTGCGGGTGAATCCGAAGCTTGCCGGACTCCGTGGTGAGAAACCGAACCTGCATCCATCTGGCTCTGGTTTATGGTGTTTTCTTGAAGAGCTGCGGGTCGAATGAAGAATTGCCCAAGCTGTTGGGGAGGTTGAAGGTCTCAACTTCAGCTTTCAGTGACACATCACACCCCGCAACAAGTGAAGAGCACTAGCTGTCTGGAGGCTGACAAGGGGTGAGCTGGAGGTCCAATCTGGCATCCACTAACGAAAGCAAGTCGCATGCCCCTGCTCAGACTTGCCCATTATGTACTGGTGTGCCTTTGGGTCTCACTCTTTTTGCCTTTGGGTCTCACGCCTCCCGGTCTCAAATGGGCTACCCGGAATGGAGAGAGTCCCGACTGGAACCAAATTTGGCAACTGCGTGCCCACATATCAAAATTGCGCAAAGTTTGCATGTCTTGCGCCTCCGGCGGGTTCATCGGGTAGCTCCCGGACACCTGGATCTGAAAGTGCCTTGCAGGAACCATATTCAGTGAGCATGAGAACAACATGTCCCGGGTTTATGTTTGCCAAGTTTGGGAGTAGTGCGCATGCACGCTGGCAACTGGAATTCCTGAACGATGTAGTTCCCTACCTAGGCACTTGTTCTTCCATAAGGCTCGAAGAATGTATGAAGACCCTGCAGCCCCACGCAGCCTGATCCCCAACCCCAAGCTGAAAACCTTAGCCCTGATGGACATTCCCAACTCCCAGCCTAAAACCCCCAAATAGAAAACTCCGAGCCCATAGTCCGAAACCTCAGAAGCCCGCCGCCTAAAGGCCAGCTCTCTTTACCTCTTAGTCATCCGTGCTTTGGTTTCCTGAGGTATAATACATTGGGATGGTAAGGGGACTACACCTCTGTAGGACTTCAATCTGGAATCCAGATGCCAGTGCCCTGCTCTTGGGAAATCAACACTTGCCGGCCACCGTGCCAAAAGGGAGTGCATAGCTGTGGCGAATCGCCGACACGGTGCAGTAGCGCCCCATCGTAAGGCGTGTCGGGTGGTCCAATGACCAGCGCATCAAGGCTGGAGAGGTCATCTCCTCCACAATGACTTTTTGGAGGGGTATCAGAGCAGAAGAGTGCTTTCTTGAAGCTTCGACTTAAGTGAGGGCTTAAGTGACCTGGCTTCTGCTGTTGAGTTTTTCTCCTGAGTTTGTTTGGCTTCTTGGACTCGCTGAACTTGCTGCGCGAGTCAGCAAGTCTCCGTCCTCGCGGCGAGACGCAGACGGTCGACGAGCCGCAATCTCCCTGGCAACAAAGTGCCAAGCTTCTGTGAGGTTCTATGTTTGTATGTATGCGGAGATAAAATGCGTGGAGTCTGCCTGGATGGTCTTCAGATCGCGTTGCAAGCGTCGGAGCCCGCTCTCTGCCATCGCCCCAGCCACCCATTGCTCGGAGCAATGTTCAAGATTCTGGGGTCTGTGAGCTTGACTCAGTGGGCTGAGGGTTAAGGTCTGTTCCCTGAATGGGGGCATGGCCTCTTTGATTTTTTCGTGGCTAGAGTCATTGTGCCAGGTCTGGGGTTGCTGCGCACAATGCCGGTTGACTGCGGAGTGGTTCGAGATCGTGCTCCATGAGAGCACGCCAGTATCTTCAAATTGAAGTTTACTTTGGCACTGCAAGCATCGAGGCATTTCTTCTCAGACAGGCTTGCAGGGCTCAGCGAGGACAGACTATGACTGTGACTGAGGGACCTGAAATTCGAAAATAGTTTCTGAGGCTTCATGTTTGTCAGGCAATTCAAGCTAGTCGCCTTTGTCATGTGAACTTGGAGTTCATGGTATGGTGGCTGTTTGACCGATTGCAGACATACTGTACGATCCGTGATCATGGCTTGCATCTACAAGTGAAAGCAGCTGTCGAATGAGCAGTTGACCAAGCAGAGAAGGTGAGCAAGACGAGTCCGGGTTGCACCCTCTCCAGCTGCAGTTGCAAGCCCTGATGACATGTCGATCATTGACTGCTTGACACGAATCCCATGCAAGCAGACGCAGAAAACAAAGCTGAAGGACATAGTCATAAAGCGCCAGCAAGGAATACACTGCCCTTTAAGCCCTTGCTTTCTCATACGTGTGTAATGTTGCTTGCATGCCCCACCATCCTCACGAATGATCCATTATCAGCAGTCTTACCAACGGCACTAACAGAGGTATAGGGGAAGGGGGCTTGAAGGCGCATCAGTGGCCGAGCATTTGAGCCAGCGGGCCTTCCTTTCCGAAGACAGGCCCCCAAAGTACCTTCGTGAGGAGTTTGCAAAGCTATCCCAAAGTCTCTGATCAGTCTGGAAGTTCTGTTCAGGTGTGCGCGTAGTTCTCAGGTCCTCGTTTACGATAGCATGCCTAGTAGCATGCGCTGTGAAGGCCGATTTCCAACTGGGTTAGTCTCACAGAAGTTCATCTGGCGCACATTCCATTCTACTCTGGCAGTGGCGAGGTGTTCAGCCTACTGTGCTGCTAGGATGATGTAGATCAGGATTTCAGTCTGGGTCGGTCAATTGTGACCTTGGTGGTGACGATCTCATGCAGCCGTACTGACGCAAGGCAACCACACGACCACTGAATATACAAAGCTAGCTGCTGCAGTATGATGGCTACACTTGCATGAGCCGAAGTACGATTACCTTCGCGCCTACTCTAGCTACCGTGCAGAAAGCATGCGCAGCATTTAAGTGACAACCAAGTCCTTGATGAGTGCCACATCCAATTGCACCTCAACGAGCTGACATCACAAGCCGGACCCACCTCTCGCAGCGGGCTATCGTTGCGGACATCCCTTCCTTGGCATCCCCCTATGAGCTGGTTAGCAACAACTGAAGGCTAGCATGGGCTGATCCCAGACAAGGCTAGGCTTTGAGTGAGCCTTTTCGCCCTGGGCAGCAGGTGACCCGTTGTCAACGGCATGCTGCAGACATACTGCATCCTACAGAAGAGGGACCCACATGAGAAACAACTTCAGGAAGATACTCCTTCATGGGTACCCCATATAGTGAAGCAGCACATGTCGTCCTTGGAAAGCAACCCTCAAACGCAAATGATCAAGTCCAAATATGGGCCCTGCATCTGAGATCTGCTGAACGTGCCCCCCCAAATCATATCACAGCCAGACTCCAGAGGTACCCAGTCGAATAGACATGCAACATCCCTCCAAAACCGAAAGCACTGCAAGACCTCTCCCGCAGTATGTGCCCAACCAACTCTTCAGCAGCACGCTGGAGCAGGATTCGGCCGCGCGCGACGACACCCTAAGCATTGGGAGGCAACAAAAAACACGAAGCTTGCAGGCAGATGTGGTCATACGGGTGCCAAGCAGGCGCAACAGCCACAAGCGCCAAAAGTTGCATCGCGCGAAGTCAGGAGTGCTCTTAACGGACTGGCTTCCCGTTCATCTAGTGCAAGATTTCAATGAAAGATGCAATTAACTCCATGTGCACTCTAGACTCGAGAGTTAGTCCTGAAAAGCCTGAATGCCCGAATTTCAACCCGTCCCACCCTTAATATCTGCATACCTGAAAGTGCGGTGTCAACTGCAGTGAAGGTCTCAGAGTCTGCAAATTGACATTACACCCTGCGCCCCGTCAAAAGCCTTCATGTGAAGCTGCAAGGGATAATGCGCTCTTCTGAGCGCGTCACGTGAAGTTGGGCCCTCCTTGTGTGTTGGAGGACTTTGGCAGTTCAGGCGGGCGTACTTATGGTGTATTGTGGGATCCTCGCTCCTGGGACCAAGAGTTCCGAATTGAGGTCCTACGTTACATTGCTTGCGTCTCGAGGCACAAAAGATCTGAGGTAAGGGCTACTGCCATGAACACTACTGGGCTACCGATGTTGTGATGGCGCTCACGGCCGGCAGCGCGTGGCTCAGCTTCCAGACAGCCTAACGACACTGCTAGGCGCCACGCAAGCTAGCCTTGCCATCATGAATTGCACAGCTCATTAAGTTGTGTTTGGAATGTTGGCTCTTGAACCTGGAATGAAGCCTGCAACCGTCACTACCAAGGTCTACTACAGAGCGTGTAGACTGCCTGCAATGACTTTCTAGTTTACCTGCTGAGGCTCACATGGATGGCTTCGACTTTTGCATCCCCTTACCGGGGGCAGACTACAAACAGCGTCCACTCAGACAGTCCCCCTACGGACTGGCTCTCGGAGCTTCGACTGCATGCAAACGCAGCACGCGCCCGAAAGTTTCTCCGAAAGAAATCATACGTATGGAGAGACCATCAAGAACAACAACGGGAACAGGAGCCAGCTCCCTTTCCTTGCTTCAGAAAGTTCCGGTGCCCCACCCTAGGGCCCGTGCGCGTTGCGCCCTCTGCGTGGTGAGCTTGCAGATGAGGAGCTTGATGAATCCAGGCCTGCACGAGGGCCGTTCTGGCTGTGACACTAGGGGCAGGCAAGAGCGGATGCTTGAGGCGTTGCCTCCGTCAGCAATTGGGGCTTCCTTCTATCAGGACCATGAGTGGGGAAGCGACAAACCAGCTTTCCAAAATTGCCATGCTCTCACAACTCGATCGGGCAAGCGATGCTCCCGCCAGCCCCTGCTGACTGAGAGGCGGACATCCTGGTCTAGAAATGAAAGTTTGTGGGCGATCAACAGATCTGAGCAAACATCCTCCAGTGTGACCACCACCCCTTCAGCAGACACCCCTTCGTCCCTCACAACCAATCAAGCCGCGTTCTCATCACAAGCCGCGATAAGCCGCGAGCCTTCGGTCTGGCCCTGAGGACGGGTGATGTTCCGGATCGGTCCTGCCAGTCAACAATGCCAAAGCTTGTTCTGCCGTGGCGAATCATCAGAGCTGCAGCTTGGCGCCGCGGCTCAAGAACACTCATGTGAACAAGCTGTCGCTTTGGATGTGGCCTGAATATTCTTGAAATTCTTGCAAAGGATCACACCAGCATCTGTGCGACTTGACATATTATGGATGTGGCGTCTCATGCTGCATCTAACGGGGAAGAGCTCCATTGTCCTTCAACAGGCCCTGGAGAGCGATTGCACTGCGCTCTGACCGAGGTCCACGTGGGCTGGCAGAGTTTCAAGCGTCGGAGCTGCAAAAGATTTTGCATCACAATAAGGAAGGGCATGGTTTCTGACCTACGTTGCGAATGCCTGCGTGGCTTGTATCAATGATGTGGCTGGACGGCAAGGGCTGAGGTTGGGGAGCCTACTACAATATCTATCATCGAGGCAGACTACGTGGCTCGGAGACACCTGACCCAGGAAATGTCTAGGACACGCTTGCGGATTCGCACTGGCAGTTGATCTCCATTTCAGACTCGCTGAGGCGAGGCGCTGTAGCATAGCCACAAGTGCAGTTCGCGGCATTGCTTCCCATGAGCCTCATGCATGCAGCTTGTTACAATTGTTTGTCTCCTAGGTCCTAGGAGGGCGTATAGGAGGCAGCTTTACTAAGCAAATGCCGGCAACACATGGGAGTATGGTACTCTCAATTACTCTTACATCTACCATGACGTGTTCCACTGGCTCAGGTCACTAGATACATGAACCCCAAATCGCGAAAAGCTTTTGGTTGATGCAAAGATTCCGGAAATTGGCACTTGATTAAAGATCTTCTGAAACGGCATCCCAGGAGATAAGAATCGCCTCCCCCGATACGTTCATGATTTTTGTTTTCAGAACGAGGCTGCTGTATCATCAGTGAAGTCAGCTGAAGGGTGAAGAGATGATTCCCAAAAAAAGAACAGTGGGGCTTGAGAGGGTTTAGGGCGCTCAGGAGTCTTAAGGGCTGCTGCTGTTGCTGCAGCAATGGCAACAACACCACCGGCACCACCACCGATAATTACGTCGCAAACCTACAAGCCGCTTCTGCTGCTGCAGCTGCGGCGGCGACAGCAGCGAAGCCGCGACGACCTATGGCCACTATCACCACCGCCTGCCGCGCCTGCCGCGCAGCCGCCGCCGCCGCCGACCCCCCCGCACCACCACCGCCACCGCCACACCGCGGCCAACACCAATACTACCTTCAACACCGACCGCTGCCACCGCCACCGCCGGCAACACGGCCAACAGCATGGCCAACGCCAACACCACCGCCAACACCACGGCCAACACCACTATCAACACCACAGCCGCCGCCACCACCGCCAACACCGAGACCAAAACCACCACGACACCAAAACTGAAACAACCCCACAAGTAAACATCCTGTGCCATTCGAATCTACGATATCTACCTGCGTCTACGCCTTCGCTAAGAGCAGGCCTCTCCGTCCGATTGAGACCGACGTTTGCCGCATCCTCAGGGGCAAGCCAAGACCACTCGTTCCCAGTCCGCACGGCAAGAGACCCTCGTGATGCAAGGGGCTTGCCCCCAATTGCCAGACTGTCGAAGAAGCTTTGTGTGTGTGCGTGAGATC